AAATTTTTCCAGTTAGTTTCATTATGAAAGATACCGCTGTTATATATGAAATAATTAAATAGGTGTTTAGTATCCCAATTTTCGCGGGCGGTTTTCACCCCCAAAAACCCAGTTTGGGCCGATAAGTGGAAACACGTGTCGCTTATTTTATCGAGTACTACAATATATTTGAAAACGAAAAGAATCGGAGACGGACACCTACCAAAGTTTCCTTGTTAGTCCTTGAGATTGATACATATTAAGGTACCTTTCGCGTGACAGTCATGTCCAAAAATATAGTTCAGAAAAGTACAGAAACATTCAGTATCTATGATAATATTCCAAATGAAATATCCTTTGAAAAATACGTTTAGGGTTACTAAGTAGATAAATTATAAGAGTTTAAATTAATTCTATTTTGCTTTTATTATTTGTTAAAGTAAGTTCGAAGTGGATATACTTTTCCAAGCGTCCAGTTCAATTTTCTCACAAACATTGAAATTTCCGTTTTAACTATAGGGGCATACAAAACAGTCACGATTTACGATTCAGAGTTATGATCGTGGCAACGTCACATGTGTAGTGAACCACGAGTTACCAAAGACAAATGTTTATTAAGAAAATTATTTCTTTCTTTGAATCATATGAGTGATTCATCAACTGTATTATTGTTAATGTTAATGAAATAGTTATATATTTTTTACTTTCTCTATCTTCTGTGAGTTGGTTTTTTGTTCACTTTGAGATTTTATAACAGGTTTTTATTTAAAATAATAAATATTCAATATACGAAAACCATTGGGTATGATTTTATAATCCAAATATAATAAGATTCTGCATTTCTTTAATTTATCATCGATGACATCAAATTATTTTATACATTCGCGCGCGTTCTACTTCTGAATAAATCCACGGTAGAATGAGAGAAGGTATGATCTGACGCATCTACGTCGTAAATTTATAATTATGGTTACCTATATTTAAATTATATGAATAATTAAATTAATTAATTATGCACCGCAAGTCCTTTCCTATTACAACTAAATATAGCATGTTTCATTAAAAAATGATACTCTATGTCGATGCACAGATAAATAATGAATTTAATAAAAATAAATAATGAATTGTTACAGAATGCAAATCTCACCACGCACCTCACATACGATCAGGATCAGGTTATGAGGGGTTATGGGATGGGACATATACCACAATATAAACATAGAACACTGAAAAATGGCGGAATCTTCGGGCTGCGCAGAAGTGGTCGAAAATGTGTCCATGAACTGAACATACCTTGTCTCATTCTATCGTGGACAAATTGTATTGTTGTCGCCTCATTCACCGCAGTTTACTCGTACAACGAAATTTTGAAGAATTTTTCGTTTTAACTATTGGAAACTATCTTACAAACTAAAAGGTAAACAATTTTTAAATGTTTTACGTGCATTCTGCTTATATGAATTCATGACATATTTTTATTTTTTATCAATGTCTTACTGTTACGTCCGACGCAACGCAACCCCATTGCCCCCCCCCCCCCCCCCCGCCCCCCCCCCAAATGATCACAAAACAAAGAACGAAAAGGAAGTAACTTCCCAAATTATGCTTTCAGTTCATTTTTCAATTGCCTCAATTTTCAACGTACAATTTTAATATTGCATGGGATACGGTGATATTCCGAATTAGATATGTTACGTCCGACGCAACGCAACCCCATTGCCCCCCCCCCTCCCTTCAGCACCCCCTCAGAACCCCACTAGAAACGGTCAAAGACCACGATAGATGTAACCGATCCTCAGCGAACATGCGTTAATTATTGTAAATCGTAGTTTACCTATATATATATATATAATTAATACTTAGGGGATATCATCATATTATATTATACTGTACACGACATCTCATACTCTCACACATTTCCAGAAATTACACCAACATAGGTTGCAGGTGGATGAGCAGGAAGAAAGAGAGATCACGGCAAACAAAGAATAATAACGGCACGGGCAGCAATGCTGAACAGGATACCTAGAATTGAGGTGCCTAAAGAGCATTTTACTATAGCACCGCGAATACCGCGCACAGCAGAACTCCTACCCGTCACCTTCGCATTCACCTCACCAGCAAGATAATCCTGACAATGCACTAATCCAACGAAGAATCCGCGATCGAAGGCCTGCAATGAGAGATCGATCGAACGACAGGGTTCAATTGCCCCGATGATGCCGCAATACGTATCCAAATTCCAAGATATTTCCTAACGTTGCATTCAATCCCCTCCAAACTCAAAACCTTTCTTACGAACTCTAATACAAATCATCCTCAGTTACTAATCAATCCTCCGGTAGAGCAGTATTCCTTTTTGAGTCTTGAGCCGATTGTTCGCGCCAGTTAAGTGTTCTCCCCGAAATTCCCTGACATTGCATACAGTCCCCTCCAAACTCAAAATCTTCCTTACGAACTCCAATACCGATCATCGTCAGTTATTGATCAATCCTCCGGTAGAGCATTATCCCTTTTTGAGTCTTGAGCCGATTGTCCGCGCCAGTTAAGTGTTGTGCTGATCAAATACCTTAGGGCTTATTTTGATCTAGCTTGCCTTAGGACCCAAGCGAAAAGTGTATCACTTCAGTGCCGAGCGTCCACGCGAAAATAACTCATTTCCTGGCATTTCAATAAGCATTTGTCTAGGCGAGTGTCCACCTTAGGGCCGGACCAAGAATTTCCCGTTCAACCAAATCTACTTCACTATCGTCGAGAACCGAGCGCCGTCTCTCTCTCTTCCTCTGCTCATCCACCGGTAAGTAACTCACATTCCTACACCTTTATATATATATCTATCTATCTTTGTAACCCATACTACACAAGTTGACGATCACACATCCATTGTATTAGAATTTCGCTATGTTAGTAGATTAACACACTCTCTCCTACATCTTACTGTAACGTTTATACATATACAGGGTGTTCGTTATGAGACGCACTGTAGTAACATCGTTGAATTCCTTGTCAAATTCCAAAGAATACGTGTATTTTCGTTTTTTATTTCATATATCAAAATTTCGAGATAATCAAGGTTGAAGTTGCAGTAATGCGACCAATCAAAACGTGTTTAAACGGAGCGTAGATTACGTCGCGAGTCAGCCCGCAAGACCTGCTTACACTAGGCCAATAACACTAAGAGTATCGTCGTAGTATCCCTGTTTATCTGCATGTAATTGAGTAAGATACAAGAGACGATAATCTTAGTGTTATTGGCCTCCTGTAAGCAGGCCTTGCGGGCTGGCTCGCGACGTCATCTACGCTCCGTTTAAACGCGTTCTGATTGGTCGCATTACTGCAACTTCAACCTTGATTATCTCGAAATTGTTTAAACGGAGCGTAGATTACGTCGCGAGTCAGCCCGCAAGACCTGCTTACACTAGGCCAATAACACTACACTTGTACTCTCGTTTATCATTTTATTATATTGAGTCAAACTATACTTTCTTCTCTTGATTTCGAGACCTGAACCTATTAGCTCATAAATCCAGATAAACCCCCTTATCAGTAGCTTCAACCAAACTCCCGTAGAAGGAGTGAGTTTTCCAAATCAATATATTTAGTACCTCTCTGTGATCCTCATCTTAACCATCGACCAAGTGACATAAACGCAAATAGGCGTGCTTTAGCACCTTAAAGTGGCAAGAACCCAATACCTTTTACGTGATCTTTGATCTCAACACCTATGCTAGCTCCCTGATGCTCCCGCATACGGTCGCTCACGCATAGGACGTAACAAGTAAACCGAGAGGGTCGAAAATTTTCGTTTACGTGATCCTTTTACGTGAATAGAAAGAATACCTTTTACGTGATCTTTGATCTCAACACCTATGCTAGCTCCCTGATGCTCCCGCATACGGTCGCTCACGCATAGGACGTAACATTACAACTCGTTTAGATACAAAAAAATGAAATGTGTCTGCAGTATACCTAATACATACGGAATCCATGTAAAAACAGTACATTTTGACAGTTTTTCTCGTTTTAAAGAATTAGGCATACAATTTTTGAAAAAATTGAACGAAAATTGTTTTACACGTCAATTACTGTCAACTCTGAAAAGACATGTGAGTTTTTATTGTCATTGGTGGGGATTCAAAGCTGAAACCCTGTGGATTACTATTTTCCGCTGCGTGGTTTATTTCCGTGGATTACTTTATCCTACTCGGCTATTCACATTTTAGAAAATATATTATTTGATTCTTTATTTGAGTTAAAAAGAGAATAAACACGTCATGACTGTATATATTTATATGACTGCGACTGAAATAATACAAATATAGAAATAGGTTTAGTTATTTTATACGGAAATTGGATTTTTTGGTTACGACATGTTTATAAAATTTCCGTGGATTCTCGTAATGCTGATGAATGTATAAAACACATATAGCATATATTGTGCTTTGTCACATTTATTGGGTTAGCATGCAAGTAATGAGACACTCTAGAAAACTCTACGCATGTCCTTTTTTAAATTAATTCTTTTTGACCATATTTTATTGTATATACCCACAGAGCGGAAGTATCTAGAATGTTTTATAATATACTAGAATATGGTCAAAAACAATTAATTTAAAAAAGGACATGTGTCGAATTTTCTAGAGTGTGTCATTACTTTCATGCCAACCCAATACAATATTTTACAAGTGTCAATTAATGATTGAAATAAACAAAATATTTTTTTAATAACAATTTGTTAACAACTACCAATTATAAACTATAATAATTACTGATAAATGGTCATTAGTACATAGTTAATGAATAACAATTGAACAATGTACTTCAAGACTCTGTATCCACTACGCACTGTACTTTTTGTGTGAATACAACATCGCATAATTGGTCATCGATAGATGATTAACAATTGTTGATCAATAATAATTAGTTAATCAATAATTGTTAATCTTTAATTAGTTAAACAAAAAAATTAATAACTATTGATGGATATTGAGAAGTGAAGAAGGCAAGTAGAGTCAATTGTTGGCTTCTTGATTTTTCAATAAACAATTTTAAAATAGTGAAACATCTAAACAAAGTACACTATATACTAAACATTATATATCTGCATTGCATTTTTTGAGGAGTCAGCGGTGCACAGATGGATTAAATGAATTTTCGAGGACAATATTAAACAAATTTTAACATTTTAATAAACAGTTAGATAATTGTATAACAAACGAATAGTTAATAAATTTTGCCGGTTGCATATTCACAATGAATTAACAATTGTTAATAGATTATAAGTTACCTGGGGCAGCAGGTGTGTACCCCCCGGAATCTATCCGCGACTTCCCGAACAAGACAGCGTTGATTTTTAATATTTAAGTCTACAATTTTTTAGGGTTCTGAGTTTAGTAAGGCCCTAGTTTGGAATCTCTGATTTAGAATTCCCGATAAATCCTCAGCAGGACCTCAGTGAAGAATCATTACCGTGGATGGCGCGATTGAGCCTAAAATGTTATTAGGTAAGTCTTCATGGATTGTAATATGGCCCTTATCTGATATACCTGCTGTGAAATCCCTGCCAAAATGTAACAGGGGTTTACTATGCTATAAGGGGAATGCCCGATTAAATTTCTGCTCGGGCTCTTGACCCATCCGCGGCATCATATGCACTACCCCTGAGTAATCCTTTTACTCCGCGTAAAAGTTGCTAACCGGACAATTTTTGGCCCTGCACATGCGTTACTCTATATTCAGTTAGTCTCATTCGTGCATTAAGTTAACAGAATTCTACGTGTACTAGTAAGGTAGAATGATCGATTATCGATCGTCAATCAGGTCCATAACTAAGGAAATAGACAACACACAGTAATTAGACAGACTGGCTTACCACCGATTATTCGATTACGTATGTCGTCGGGACGTGTGTTCATTTGATTAGAAGTATTATTCCCGTTGCCATTACCGTTGGTCATGGTTGTCATGGCAAGAGACATTCCTATTGGATTGATGCGAGCCTCAAATCCCGCCACCTGAAACAACAAAACAAAATATATGTATATTATTGAAAAATTATATTTATCACGGATTTGTTATACATGCTCGATTCGTATACAACAAACGCTCGAGTGACCTTCAATCCACTGCACATTTCGTATGCGTGATGTTACGATTAGAAAGTTAGAGAGATTAGCAAATTTAATTAAGAGGAAAACAACGTAAAACTTTACTTTTCAATTATGCTATTCTTTGTAATACCTTTAAAATCCACCTTTACAGATTCAAGTCTCGCAGATCTCGCCTTGTAAGGTATGTTTCTAAAGTCGGATGTATGCATAGATACATAGTACATGTACATACATGTACACTGTCACAAATTTCTGTTTGAACCTTAATAAAATGTACAGTGAATAAATTTCGATAATTAACTGAAAGATAAAATTGGAAAATTACCGTGCTCAAATATATTAAATTTTGTTAGGTTATTCACATCGGTGTCAAATATATAAACAATATTTTATTGAATTTTTATTGTTACTCACTATACCATTAATAAAAAAGATGCGATTTTCGTTAAATAGAAATGTTTTGACAATTGGAAAAAATGTATTTTTCAATTTACTACGCAATCGAAATGTTCACGAAAAAACACGACCATAATCTCGACTTAATTTTTAATATAAGTTCAAAAATTAATTTTGTAGTCAATCGCGTTTTTGTTTCTGTTCATAAATTGTCACCGTCTATGGAAACGAGTAGAAAATATTAAGATGTCAACTTTTTTTCGTTACACGATGTCTGAAGAATACTTCGTGAAGTCGATGACATTTTTCAAAACTTCTCCGATACTTATTATTATTAATTTTTAATTGCATATTGAATGAATTGTAAATTTCTATAGACGACTTAAAAATTTAATATTCATTTTTTACACATACCTTAAATTTAAAAAACATGAAAAAGGTTCTTCAATTCTGACGTGAAATTATCAAAGACGAATTTGTTAATATTTATTTCAGTTACATCAAAGTGGTCAAAAGGTTATGAATTGCTCTTATAGTTACAAATAATATAATTTTAATACACAGATCTCGAAAATTCCAATACTCAAAATATTAACTTCGTAGTAAGTATCATAAATCTGATAACAGCATTGAAAATAATTTTCAATAGTTTCTTGTAGGTATCAAAGACACCTTTGTTAACTTGCAATGGAATTATATAAAAAATGTAAAAAAAAAGTTTATGGATTACTTTTAGCCTTATAAAGCACATTATTTTAATAAATGTGTCTGTTAATTTTCAATCTAATCTACGTCAATTTCAATATACAGACAATAAATTAAAGACTAAATTAGTGCTTCCGATGTAAGGTACATGAAGTATAATTTGATATACCTAGTTTGTACATTTTATATAACTTTATATATTGAACATGTTGTACATTTCATAATATTTTTAACAGTGTTGGTTAAGAGTTAGGCGTGATATTTATCTTCACTTAAAAAGACCTTGTGTTATGCATGCTCTTCCGAAGTTAAACGATTATTAAATAGGTAATTACATATTGTAAAAGCTAAGGCATAGTGACTAACGCCAATGTGCATTGAATCTTGAATAAAAATTAACTGTAAAATATCCTTCGATAATTCACATTCGCAGTTGGCAGGAAAATTCGATCGAATCGTATATCATTAACAGTGTCTCGTAATGGAAACACATGCGTTTATTGAAACTTGTCGAAATTCGAGTCACTTGCATCTAAAGTATATGTAATTATTGTACAATAAGTTGAAGATTAACAATAAGTGCTAAAATGTGCGTAACATATTTTCATATAAATAGATTAGTAACACATTACCTTGAATGACGTGCGTTGCGCACGGCAGTAACACGAAGAGTATCGGTGCCGCGACGCCGCGAACGACTACACCTAACTTAAGGTTCTACCACACAGAAGTGGCTCAACGCCACGACGATTTACGGCGCCCCAGGATACTACTCGGAATATTACCTGCGTGGATTGAACGCAATTGATAGAAAGTACTCATACGAAAGAAGGGTAGAGAATAAACTGATAGAAGTGGATTAAATTTAGGTGCTGCCCCAAGCCATAATTATAGCCAGTAAAAATACTTAAGAACTGAAATATAGTAAAATAAACTATCGGACTTGTCTCAATTTTAATTGATTAGATTTATACCAAGGATCTAGTGTCTTATAATTGATAGAAAACATGTTGAAAGAAATAATACTGAATACTTCATATATTCTGTTTCTGTTGATTGCATATCTCAGAGTTGTGAATATTTCACGTGGGAAGTGCGAACTGAATAGTATCTGGAAGTGACTGTTACTCGAATCGATCTCTGGTCCTAGTAATAGCACACTACTAACGTAATCCAACAGTGACAATCAAGCGGCCAATCATCCAACCGATACAGGACAGGAGTATTCTCATTGTTCATTGTCACTTTGAATTTTTCATTTGGCATTTGTTTACCGATCCGCTACTTATTGTTATTATTTCATTTTCACAGGCTAACGGTAATTTTATTTATTCGTTCGTTTGAATATTTATTAATTTTTCCGTTTTTTCATTAATTCAAATATCGATCGATTCTCCATCAAAGGTAATGATGTGATCAGCTGTTTTACCTTGTACCGCACGGTTAAGTCACCGACTGTCGGTAGGCAGAGATAGTAGACTGTGACTGCCATATCGAAGGTCGATATTCTTACCAATTTCAGGTACAAAAAAAAGCTGTAGAAGAATGTCACTCATTGTCGATAGGTAAACACAGAATTTAGCCCCTTGATAATTGACACGAGTTTATCGACAATAATCAATCGTTCTTTCCTCGTAGAAAATAATAAATATGTTTAACGATACTGCTTCTAAGAAGTGTTAATAAATTGTCAGGTCAAATGGTGTAAGCGCAAAGCATGGCACCCTTGTTTTATCAAGAGATTGAAAATTAAAAAATTAACGATTTAGCGTCATCAGTAACTGTTGTATTGGAACTAAACTTCCTTTAAGGATACCTAACAGAGTAGTCCAAGTTATATCGAAATTATAATCTCGTTGGCATCGCAAATTGACCACCTTGATTAGTACATATGGTCGACGTTCCATCCTATTGACTTCTAATAATATATCGTACCTGCAACCAAGCAACAATACCCATCAACAAACCATTATGACATAACGGTGTGGCTTTCGTACGGCGAATCGTCAAATTACTGGATTGATCGATACTGACCCGTGCTCCGACCTGGCTGGTTGTTTGGCAGGCACCAGCCAGTTTTGCAGACTCGCTTCCTCGTAATAATCGAGTAAAAAATGGAAAAGCAAAATGGTGGCCCTAGGCCGTCTATGTCCCGCCCTCTTGTTCGAAGGGGCTGCCCACGGTGGATTGTCCAGGGTCGAATCAACGCAGAGAGAGCCCCGTACCGTGAGTAAAGCCAGAGAAAGTTGTTGCATGGCGGACAGGGTGCTGTTTCATTTCGATCTTGAACAAAAATAGGTGGGTTTTTGTCTTCGATGGGAGGATGCAAAAGTCACGAAGTCTCCCAAACAGAACGTGTCTTCTGTATACAATGTATGGAGTTGGTCAGAGCTACGTAAGTTGCGTTGGCTGCTTGTCGTTTTCAGAGGTGGTCGCAGCCATTGTAAACGCCCAGCTCGAGCAACCGGCGAATCAGCGGCTGAAGGATGTTCTCGCACTCTGATCGACTCGGAGAAACATGAGGAAAAGAGAGATGCTGGCGCAACGCAAACGCACCGCTGATATCGATACAGTGACTCGCATGAGAGACCCCCGCGAACACTCCTCCTAAGGGAGGCTAAACACTTCCATTGCTGCTCAAGCCCATTTTCATTATCATTCTTAGCCGAATCCTTATTTATCTCATCACTCTCGTTCTTCCTTTCCTTTTATCTCTGAAGCATACCTCCTTCCGTGTGTTCCTCACACTTGGGTCGTGCTCGATCCCACATCCTGTGTCGTTCCATTCATCGGTCAATGATAGGCTCCATCTATTCTCTTGGTGATTCAAATGCGTGTAGAGGTAGCGAGAGATCTCTTGCGCGCTGCAGATTGCTCGTGTGTTGGATGTGCGTGCTGTGCATACTGTGTGTTTAAGTTCTTGGTGATAGTTGTGAAATTTCTGAAAGAGAGTCATGATTATTGAAATCAAGCAATTTGGAGGATTTTTGGGAAGAAACTCAGAGCGATCAGGGTGATAACCGAGTCTTACAGGTTAGAAGACCTGTAAGGAGTTGTTTTCCTGCAGCCCTCGGAGTGCAGGAACCAGTTGAAACGGTTCAGATTTCAGAATTGGCAGGAAGAATGCCAAGACCGTCACGCGAATCCTATGGCGAGCAAAAGCCTCCCTACTCGTATATATCTCTAACAGCGATGGCGATCTGGTCATCAAGAGAGAAGATGCTGCCCCTTGCTGAGATCTACCGTTTTATTGCCGACCGTTTTCCCTATTACCGTCGAGACATGCGTCGATGGCAGAATTCTCTACGGCACAATCTTTCCTTCAACGATTGCTTTATAAAGGTATGTTGAGTTAATACCCTTCGTTACCATTACTAATGGTATTCGGTAGTTGCCTTCTGACTCTGTTGGTACCTGTACCCTTAAAATGTGTCCGATACCTTTTGTCTGCTTCGGAATAGGTGCCTAAGCCGTGAAACTGTCAAACGTTGCCAGCTGCGAGCTAGCCAAAAATGATTACTAGTAGAGAGTAAGGGGGCAGGGGAGAGTATCGTCGTCTATGTATGTGTGTGTATATTATAGTTGGCGTAGCTTCTCATCACCGACCAAGCGTAACCGTCCATTAGATCCGATCTGAACGGACGGTAACGAGCAGGCCACCCCATAGAAAACACATCACCTAACCCCAACGTTGATACGCTGATATTCTTCCACTTTTTATTTTACATCTCCTACGATATACGGAAAGTCTTGATCGATTACACATTCATGGTACTGAATATTATATTCTGCATGAATAAATCGAAATATGACTATTCGAAAGGGGTTAAGTAGGATAATGTAAATATAATAATATAAGAGAATACAATGGAGTAGGACGGATTTATGGAGTAGCATACTCTTCGGAGTAGCGTGATAAACGCCTGCGAAATCAAGTTATCATTTCAATAAAGACAACTTTCATCCTACCGCTTATCGGTTTGCCGAACACGCAAACAATTAATTAGTGATTCGTGAATATTCAAAATAATTTATGCCATTCAAGTTTGGGTAAAATTTTGAGCCACTGGAGCGATGGATACAGCCTATTGCTATTTAGCATAGTTACGGATTTGATGAAAGTGTCGCGTGTTCCAGGTACCAAGAGGACCGCACACACCTGGAAAGGGCGCCTACTGGGCTTTGCACCCAGCAGCTCTCTCCATGTTCGAGAACGGATCTTTCTTGCGGCGTAGAAAACGTTTCAAGCTTCCCAAAGCTGCAAAAAAGGAGAGTCAAATCGTAGCAGAAACTGCAGCAAGACTCGCAGCCAGTCATACAAACGAAATTTCTTTCGCTGACAATCAGCCAGTTAGTGCTTATTATCAGCAAGACTGCTACCATCACCACCATCATCATCATCACCATTATCAGAGTGTTACTTTAACGCAACGGCAGCTTGATTTTTTCAATGCCACTTCGAGTTTTGTTGGTGCATCACCACCATTGCTATCGCAAAAAGATCAACACGTTCTTTCGGGGCTATCCGCGGTTTTGCCTTCTCCACAGAGACTGAATTCCGATAATTTTGTTCCTTTCGACGCCAAAGAGGATTTATTCGGAGCATCTGCGGTAGGCAGTTTTGAGTCTCCAGAATTGTCAGAAAATCAAAGATACATTGGAACCACGAAGTTGCATCCAAAGAGATCGAAGCCTCTGACTTTCGCACACAAATCATTCAGCATTGAAAGCATAATCGATACCGATGATTCTAATTCTAAAACTTCTACCAGGTAATCATTAAATATTTTTATAAATTAAGAGAAATCATGAAAATACGCGAAATTTCTATGATGTTAACATTATTTCAGAAATGAGACCGTCACAGCCTCTAACTCCTGCAGCCCTCGTGAGTCAAATCTAAATTCGATTAACTTACTGGGGGCATGGTGCGCAGAAGCATCAGGAAGAGATAGTTTCAGGTCTCTATACACTCCAAATATTGGATGTCCTATTGCCATATCACATCCTGGATTACATTTGCACCAAGCTGCAGCTGTTTACGCAACTGCTCTAGCCACGGCAAATCTTTTTGTGAGCCGTCCTCATTTTCAACAGTCCGCGACTAAATTACTCGAATTTTCGATGGAAGATAGCTGTCCTGCTCCATCAAGCTGCCATTCTAGTCCGCTCTACGGACTTTACAGCTCAGGATTTCCAGGCGCGCTACGTCCCGGACCTGGAAATTCTTTCTGCACAACCGAGAAAACCGTGCCACCATTTCTGCCCGTGGCAGCATTGAAACTCCCTGCGACACTAACACCATCACACAACATCTCTACGATGCTGATAAATTCAGCTCCGGATGTTCCTGATGCGTCGTCACCAGCATCGTCCTCGTCATCATCGTCCTCCTCCTGCTTTGGTTCGGGTCAATGCAATGATCTAACATCGGTGTAACATATTTTGTTAGACAACTGTAGAAAGCTTCGAGCCGCTAGAAGGGATCGCAACAAACTTAGAAGCAGCGCGATATCAATTATCGTTAGCAGTTAAACCGCGCGGTGCGGCTCGTAAAGTGCACCTTAATAGCGATGCGTTCTCTCCGCGAGCGTGCGACTCTGTAAATGCATTTTTACGATCGCATCGTAATGCGCGAACGAGAGTCTGTCGACCAATAGCAATGGAATCTGGATATTCGCAGGCCAACGAGAGCGTTCGTTCCCTCGTAAATGCGCAAATTATCGGACTGAAAGAAAAGGACTGGCTAGGTCACGGCGGGATCGCGTAAATTGCATAAATCCTGTACGCATTCTACTTGTCTATAGATTTTTCTTTCCTAACTAAAGCCTGGTGATTACCGTCTCGAGAATTTTGTTCTGTGAAACCACAGCCCTTTTCATTCCTCTATAGCTCATTCCACTCTTCTATTATTCATATTAGACTTACTTTTTAATGTATATACTCTTCTCTATGCATATGTATAAATACACGTCCATGGTGTATTCCGTTGTAAATAAAATTATTACAATGAAATAACGTTGTCTTTCCTTTTGTTTTTATAAGATATGGTTATACACGTCTTATATTATCATGAAATAAAGAATTCGATTTCCAGTCCTAAAAGAGAGCACTTATCGTCCGGCCAAGAGAAAAGTGAAAAATGCGTCGAAAGAAAAATTTAAAAAAGGGAAGAGTATGGAACACGCCCTTTCTTTGGTTCCAAATATTTCAAGCGTCTCAGCGATACTTTTTGTCATGTAGAATTCCGAGTGAGCAAGCTCTCCCCAGTTGTCGAGCAAATTAATCGAGCGAAAGGACGATAAAAACTTGAGACCTGAAAGTTAGACTCCCAGGATAGGGACAGTGTGACGAAAGAGGAGAAGAGAGAATAAGAGACGTAAAGAGGGGAGGAGACATAATATTAAATTATTCACAGCCAGTTACCAGCTCGTCAGAGGGGCCCGCCTCCTCACAGTTTTTGCCCGTGCCTACCTGACCATCGTTCTTCGTGTTCGTTTCTTCTCTTACAAACTTGGGGAAACGTCCTGGCCCACTTGACCGTATTATTTTAAATAATTCACTATCACAGTGATATGTAGATTGACAATCTCCGTTTTGAATAATTGGAATAACATTTTACAGGTCAAAGTATTGATCCCGAGTGAACTGCTGCTTTGAAAGCTTTTGTGTGAACGACTATTAACAAAAGCATTAGCAACAATATGAAAAGCAGAGGCAGTATGTCTTTCAATAGTAGTAGTAAGAGCAAGATAGTGAGCTTCGAAGCGGATGGAAGGTTTTTTGTCATCGAACCGTCGAACCGCGGAGCCGTCGTACCTCAGTAACTCAGTAGGTTCTCGCCTCTCGATCACTAATTCAACATTAGACCGGGATTGAAGAAGCACCGAAGAATGCGGCTCGCGTGGGAGCTTCCCATCCCGGTGGTCTTCTTTGCATTTTGACCCTATTCCTATAGCTGCAACGTATTAAATGTATCCGAGAAACCAGTATGAGCGAAGGAACGATAGAACATCGAGATCAGGACTCTCAACCAACCATTCTGATGAACTGACGAAGTGGCCCATAGAGCTTCTCTCGGCTTCCCTCAGCTCATGAGACAAGGTGAACAAAGTAGCTCTACCTCAGCGGCACTAATCCACTTGACACGGCATGTATGCCATATAAACACAACATGGCTACCACGGACCACCACCATTTTCCTACACATTCGTTCTCTTTTCCCAAGTTTTTTTTCATTTGACTTACTTATCATTGGATAGTCAACAATGGAGAGAGTGCACATATTTGATAATTGCCAAGGTGTGATAGCAATTTCATTACTGAAAAAGGAGGCTCAACGGATACTGACTGAACAGTTGCCGCCCTGAAATAAATTAGTTCGACAATTCTACATGGGACACCCTGTATACTGTAGTATACTGATGTATACCTAAACGGAACAGAAGAACTCGAAGAAGGCAGTCACTGATGGCTGTTGTTCATTTAGCGATTCGCCACGCGCTTCGCAGCCCCGGGCAGCCCGCGGCTTCCCGGGAATTCTCCCACTATCCACCAGTCGCTATAGCTCCTGCACCTCCCTATTCGCCACCACCACCGAAGACCTTCGACGAAAGAACTTTTGAACTACCTACCAGGCCAAAGAGCGAGCTGTACTCCCGTCTCTCGTATAACCATGGGAGTACCCTTTTTTCTCCTTGGAAAAATTAATTACGACCACTAGCAAGACGGCCAGGATGCGCCCCTGTTTTGCATTCATGCCTGTTTATAAAGGAAAGCGTGCGTAGATGACGCACTAACGCACTAACGCCCTAACGCACTAAACATTCATGTAAGGTTCACGCAACGCTGGTACCAAGCCGCTAGTACACGTCTAACCGCTAATACGTGAGAACATTGAACGTAACAGCAAACTGACAGCACGTTGCAACGATTACAACGTGTCACGTCCGCATTACATTAATATGCCACTCGAGCTGCTAGCCGGTAGCTCTCCACCATTGGCATCACCGCCATCTCTGAAATCACGAATACTACACCGACAACAGCATCGACGTCACCAACTTCATAACGCTAATTTTAGACTGACTTTATGTCCTTCGAAGTTTAATGAGCCACTGCATGTCCTGAGAATCGAATCAGTGTGTCAACTTCATATTGATAATACGATTACAGAAAAAAGCTCTATACAGGATGTTTGAAAAGTCCTACTACCTGTATCAGATACATACCTACCTCTAGAATCGTGGTAAAATTTGGAAGAAAGTGGTACTTGCAAAACTGAAATTTATAAATTGGTTTTGGGGATAATTGTAATTATAAATTGAAAATTTCCATCAACCAACAACGTTAGCTGATCCACAAGAATCAGTAAAGGAACCGTATTGGCGGAGTACTTCCCCCAATGAATATCAACAAATTCTCTCCAAGCGATCACTCGCTAAGTACATCGTATAATTCCTCCTATACCCAAAGATATCATACGATTTTCTATTTTGTATTTCCTGTCTTTTCGCATATTTTTGTACGATTCATCCATCATTGCAAACATCCATTCCATATAAAAAACTTTTATCCGAGAATGTATTCATAAAGTGCATTCACGTCCACCGTGGACACCTGATAAGCCTGCGACCATTTTCTAGTGCTAACGATAACAATCAATTACATCCGATGGATGCAGCGAAGCAATGAAAAATAACGGCGATTCTCTTGTGACCCGTAATCTCCAACATTCTCTTGAAGCATTTTCGAGGTGATTGCTAATCATTGAAAAACTCGCATAGCTAAGCGGCTCTCGGAAAGTAACAGAATTATCGACTGACAAAAATCATTCTTTTAGATACCTATGTATCTTACTTTCCGCGGTTACGCCAACCCAAGCATAACTAACTAATTTGTGATACGCTTTTTCAGCTTGGCTACGAATAAAGGACTTACTGGATCCTTCGCATCACTCTCTGCCGAGCTTCTATTGAAAGGTGTCTGATTTATTTCAGATTAAGTGCCAACATTGGAAATCCAACTAAAAGAAGTTGTTCGCATATCGCATCAATTCTTTTTCGAACCATTTGACTACCTCGACAGACGCAATGGATTACTGAATTTTTTCAAAACAGAGACACGGAAAGCACATATTTGTAGGAATTATAATTAGCTGAGAAGCAACAAATAGCAGAAGAAGAACAATCAATTATGCACAGGTTATTCCGTAAGAGCACGCGCTACTTCGTCGACGTCAAGGTAAGATTCTTTGAGGCAGTCGGGTTACGAACACGAGCGTATCCGTGACCAAATCAGATCACGGGCGGACACGCCAACGCTCCGCGACACGCTCGCTCTCGACGATTCAAGAAAAAGCGATTTCATTCCCTTGGGAAAAGATACCACAACTGATCGAATTTCGATCTTTCTACTTTGTAAGGAGAGGATGAATCAGAAAAATCAGAGAAATCAAATGAATCAAAGGAACAACAGGATTCTAGGAATCTGTATGTCACTTGGTGTCCTCCCTGTTGCGAGATCAACGACCACTACGCTTCTCGCTCGAGAAGGAAGAAGAATCGAAAGATTTCCTTCCAGAATTACATGGTAGCCAACAATACCGTTGCCAACTGAAGGGAGTACTCGTAAGCGACGAGCAAGCAGGCAACTAGGTAGGCAGGTAGACAAGTGAGCAAGAGAGCCGGTAACCAACCCACCGGGCATTGTATCGAATGAATGCATGATTCTCGCTGAGAGAACAACAATATAGTATATGTAGAAATATATAGCTGTACAGATGTGTAAACGTACAGGAGTGCGCCTTATATCTACAAGATGCTGTTTGTGTTGTGAGTGGCGTGATAGGTAACAACCAGCACGGCATAGCCCGGCTATTATAGTTACAAAGCTTCGGAATTAATGTTGGCTCATTGTTGCTTTATAATGAGGCGGGGGCTGTGCTCTGGAGTAGACTTGAGTAGAGTAGAGTGAAAAGGAGTGGCGCGGGGCGGAGAGAAATGAAAGGGAGTGGAAGGAGAGTGGGTTGGTCGCGTTGGTTGGAGCAGGCCGTCCGCGGTTATTCAATCGTGTTTGTTCTATGGCACAAGTATACACTTTGCGTAGTCTAAGGGTTTTCATAGCAACAAATATGAACTCTCTACTTCATGCGGATTATATTTAGAGATAAAGGACTTTTTACGGATTTTCATTTGATGCGCTAGTATTATCTACTTTTCGACTAGGAATAAGCTTCTCGATTGTTAATCTTAAATCATTGGAGACTACAGTAAAATAGAGTCTGAGCAACTTCAGATAAGATCTCCCGGGTTACGCGGTGTATTGCATTTTTGCATTTGCCCACCATTCGCTCGGTCGGCTGTGCTGCTCGGTGAGTGAATTCATATGTAACTGTTTTGGCCCATGTAGCACACCATCAAGCGCGAGCAGCTAATTCAATGGCACCAAACATGCAACTTATTTACATAATTACACAGCTCGATAAAGACTCCCTTCTATTTTCTCGACGACATGATGAGAGGGCCGCAATGTGGAGAAGATGTAGGTAAGGGTACTTATAAACTGGCCACTTCTTACTGCCTACCTATTAGTGTCGATGGGAGTAAAGGGCGCTAATTCGCGCTACTACAAAACATTAATACTTTAAAGTCTTACAGAAGAACGAGCGACGGACGGAACATGGAACAAACCTGGTGGTGGGATCGCGCGGGCCTCATCCATTCGTACTATAAAGCGAGAAGGTCCCAAAGTTAAAGAGCCCATGACGGAGCGTGCAAAATGCTACGGAACGACGTGGGGATGCCGACCGCCGAGACGCATTCATCCCATATAATATTCTATTGCCGCGCGACGACGAAACAAACGATCTTCTTTCCTTTTATCTGACCGAGGAAGATCGCGCCCGACCCTGGGATCCGGTACGATCAGGTAGGTAGAGCACATATTTACGAGAAATTAGATACAGTTTAGTCTGATAATGGATCGCTGGGCCGATCGGTCATGCCCCGCTGGAT